TGCGCTCTCAGTTTCCCCTTTCTAACAAGTTTATTGGCTATAAGAACGGTATTATTTTTTTCGGGTGGAAATAATATTTACTGGTGTTATTGTAGTTCAAATTACACAAATGTAGAAAACGTACATCGTTAATTTGATAAATAATGAAAATTGTTAATAAAAAATCGCACGATTTTTTATTAAAAATTTTCGCCTGCAGCGCTTTTTCCATTAAAATCAATACTTCGATAAATAATAAAAATTTTTAATAAAAAATCGCGCGATTTTTTATTAAAAATTTTCGCCTGCGGCGCTTGTCAGCTTTTTTTTTATATTGGGGGTATTTAACCCCATACCCTCCTTTACTACTAATTCAACGCTGAGCAGGAAATGGGTACGATAAAAACTATTCTCTTTTATTGTTATTTTCTTAGATGTGGCTGCACTCTTCTAATGTCAGTGTGAAACCATGGTTGAATCAACGGTTCTGTATTCACAATGTGCGTATACATATATAAGTGCGTGATAATTATTAAAACTTACTTAATTTACTATTTTGCCAAAGTGTCTACATAAATATAGTGTTTATTGTGTGAAATAGCGCCGAGAGGTTAGTTCAATTTACAAACTTTAACAACAAATAACTTAAAAACTATAAGCCTCCTGCGGCTAAAAGTATATATATTTGCAATCAGGAGAACTCCCCCAACCCCCCCATGTGAAATGTCAATATATGTATATATTGAAAAAACCTTTTTATAAGGCTATTCACATGTACGAACGCCATTAGTATTTAAGTAAGTATAGATGTTTGTAGAGTTGGGATTTCTGGAAAATTCTTCCATGTCAGAGTACATACACTCATGGACAAACAAACAAGTTTACGACATTTGGTCCAGTTTTGGCTATTTTTTTTTTATTTTTTGTACAAAGTTTAAAATGTGGTTTTAAATCGTGTTTGTTATATAATGGGCTAGACTTTCATAAAAAAAAACAAAATTAAAAGGCATTAAATAAAGAAAGAAAAATAGGAAAAACTGGTCAAAATGTCGCAACTGCATGGTGACTTTTGTTAAATATTTGCGATGTTTTTCAAGTTATTTTTTTTATAAAAATATGGTTCATGCTTTGCGGGTTCTTTCATATAACAAGTGCAATTTATAAAAAAAATAGCGTTAATTTTTAAAATTTTGTTTGTAAACGGTCTTGCGTTTTTTTTCTACAAGAAATACACTTTTATATAGTAAAAAGTGAAAAAGACCGTCAGAAAAAAAATTAAAAATCCACGCGATTTTTCACACGCTGAAAACTTGCACTTGTTTTACTAGAATTACCGATGTACCTGCATACCCAGAATATTTCTAAAAATTCTGACTAAAAAGTTTAAAATTTAGATGAAATTTTTTTTCTAATTTCTGTACAAAGTTTCAGAGTTTGACTTATGTGGTTTTGGTTAAAGCATGAACCATATTTTTATAAAAAACTTTTACTTGAAAAACATTGGAAATATTTAACAAAAATCACCATGCACTCGCCATTTGCTCGACCATTTTTACTGTAGCTTTAGTTGAACTTAAATTTTCTAATGAATTGCTTGCTTTTAGTTATGTTATACATGCGGCGACCATCCGTCCTTTATTTTAAAGGACAGTCCTTTATTTTAACCCCTTGTCCTTTATAATTTTTGTCAAAATAATGGACGCCATTTGTCCTTTATTTCTTAAACTGTCCTTTAAATTAGCTTTAGATTTTGCAGAGGTAAATTTTTAAACATAGAATATGAAAAAATAAAAATGTTCATAATAAAACAGAATGAACACCTTCGTCAGTTTGCTTCGCACGCCACTTAAGGGTCACGAATCCTTGATAATACTGATAAGATGAAATTTATGTAATTGCAAAAAAAAGTTAGCTAATATTTAGACATTTTCCCAGAAAAATTAATATACTTTGAGTAAAATTTATTGTTGACATTGTTGAATCGGTTAAAATCAGGTTACAGCGCCTTTCGAGAAGAGGAACTTGTACAATTTAATAATATAATTAACTGGAAAATATTTGATCTAAATTACCATCATACAAGTTGTATGTTCGTATTCTAAAATCATTGGGAAAAATGTCCTTTATTTTACATATGTTTTATGTTAATATGTATCTAGATTTTAATCCAAAATAAAGCGCAAATTACAATAGATTTATTTCCTTTATTTTTATTCTTCATATATAATAGCATAAAAATAAATTTTTATTGTTTTTATCAAAAAAAAATCATTGGTACGCGGAAATGTACACAAAAACTTTATTAAATTGAATTCTAACGATACGTATGGTGTTTTGTTTTGCTTTGAGCACGCAAAAAATTGTATTCACAGTTTTACAAAATATTTAAAATTTAAAATAAAGGATATACAAGGGTAAAATATACACTGGCCCACAAAAAATAACAGTGCACCGTTTTGGCCAGTTCTGA